ATTCAACTGTAATAATTATTAATCGTTTCAATTTTCAGCAGTGCATCCGATATTATTTGCCATTTTTTCTCTATGTTACTTTTCTGAATGACTGCGAAATATACAGGATTTCTGAGAAAGAAGAGATGCATCACGATGAACTGTCTATGAAAATTTAAAAACTGCAAAATCATTCCAATATCACGATCACGAATATCCAATATCACAAACACCATCTCGCTTAACTCAGTGTACCGTAACTTTCCGTTAAAAAACTTCTTGCTTCAAACATGTAGTGTATGCGTTGGTATTCGGGAAAAACTGAACTTCCAATAGCCCACAAACATTTATTTATTTATTTATTCAATCAGCAATTACAATGCATTACGAATTTACGCCTCTCAATTATCACTACATTCTTCCTTCTTGACATCCTTTTTTCGACGATATTAGCATAGGGGTTCACCTGTCTTTACGAAATTCCGACATTGATCAGTGTTTTGGGAAGCATAGAGTAGGGCTGGGTCCACAAATATACTGCATCTTTTCTTCTCCACAGTCCCGTCAAGTGAAATTTCGCATTATTCCAGTTCGCACGGTGAAATTTTTTGAGTCTAGGAAGGATAGCTTTTCGAAGGAATTTTGAAGTTTTTTTTGTGCATTAACTGCAAATATTCCCAGTTCATACGCCACATAAATAGCATACAAGCAGTTTGCATACAATAGTGAAGAAACCATTAAAGTGTTGATATTCGTAAATGTACATCGCATGCACATACATAAAATATATATATAATGCTTTGTGCATTTCAAACGCGAGAAGTATTCCTTCATTTTCACATCTACCGTATCGAATGCGATCATCAACTTAAAGTCTTTTATAATAAATGTGTGTTGTTATTTTATGTTCGTTAGAATGCTACATTGAAAAAGAAGAAAAGGAATACAATTGTTCATCGTTATAACTAAAACTCTTCTGCTGCAATCTCGATAATATTTCATTTTGGTTTGCATAAGCACTTCAAATGTTTGTATCATCATCAGACACAGAAAGTTTCTTATTTTTAGAAAACAAATTAATTATCCTTTTCACTTCATACAAATAAACAAATTCTACACCGTATTTATCTGTACAAGAATACCTGAGTCCTTACGAATACAGTATTCAATATGAGTAATGCTACATAATTGGCTGAAATAGTGTTTCGCTGCATTCGAAAGCTCATCTCATCTTGTTACTTTTGTGCATTTGATTGGATAACGGTATGATGAATGTATGTTATATTCACACTGATGATCGTTCAACGCCCCCCCCCCCCCAGCTGAATTTAAAATGGTCATATTCCGATACCTTTCTTTACATTCGTTCAATGAAATCGAGGTAAAGAGAAGAGATATAGCCAAAGAATGCGATAATGAAGAGAAAATAGAGTGTCAGAGAGAGGAACGTCGCGGAAGCTCGTTAAACAACCGACTGAATGCTCTACAGACTCAATATTCGTTTCGTGGAGAACATAGAACGAAATGCAACACTTTGATTGAAAAGCAGTCACTCTGATAACAGTTTATTGAACTGCTGCTACTGCTGTTACAGTTGTTTATTTGGATAATCCCAAGAACGAACAATCGAAAAATGACTCAAATATAACAACAGAACATCTGACACAAAAGTACTTGAGTGGCCACAATTTTAATCAAAAAAATTCAAAAAGTAACATAAAAATAATATAATTTTGGGTTGAAAAATGTACAAACGACCGCAATTGAATGGTGAACGAAGAAATATGAATAGATGCAAAGAGAATATAAATGATGGTTGGCATAAAATAGTGAATATTTTAATTGATTATACATGAGTGCATCACAATGAAGCGAAATGGAAATTATGAGGAGCGCAGTGAAGGAAGATAGAGAGAAGCGTTTAGAACGAAGAGTGTATCGACGAACAAACATAATAATTTCACATTTTGATGACGCTTGATTTGGGTTCATAACTCGTGAAGCTTATCCAAAAAAACTTCACAAATCATTAATTTAGGTTTATACTTAGCACTATCATTTCGACGCGTCATGAAAGCGTTCACAATATCTTCGTGCTAATAAGCCACGGTAGATATGAGTGTCGTCGATGTCATGAACTTCCATTTGGTTTCGTTACGCTTCTGGTTCGTCTTCAACCTCTTACTGATAAGATTCCTATCAGTTGATTGCTGAAAATTTCATTGCTGAAAACCGAATCGAAAATATATCGTTCACCGAGAAACTGCAATGAACATTTGGACTTTATGTTGAGTATTGAATCGGAGCAAAATAAACAAGTAGGTTACTATAAAACTGATAGTTTGATTGATATAAAGCTGAAATTAATCGATGGAATGCAAAAAATAGACTATTTGGCGAAAGCATAAGAAAAAAATGACTTCCGAACGCTCACTTAATTCGTTGTCTGAACTTAATCTTCAACAGCTGAATAATTCACTGATCCACTGCCACATTGAAATGTTTATTTAGCAAGTGAACATACGAAAATTCCGCTCGTAAATTTGCAGCTCCACAAAAAAAGATCTCTTACTTACTACTTACAATAAAATGGCTTACAAACCGGTATGTCTTAGACTAGGTGAAACTATCACGTTATAAAAGAAAAAAAGAGACATCAATCACAACAAATATCATACCACTGCAGAATTTTTTCAACTTCGTATGAGTGCGAGAAAAGCTAGTATCGTGGAAATTATGGAACATTTTGTTAATTTGTGAGGCAGAAACCACTGAAAACCGAATAGTAACCATTAATTTTTGTAGCATTTCATGAAAACCATAAGATTCTCATTTAAGATTAAATCGTCGAAAAATTGTTGAAGCTTTCATATTGTTAACTTAATGTTGACAGAAAGAGTCAAAGATAAAATGTAAAATAATTTAAAGATGTCAACAGAAAATTCAGAAATAGAATTTACTGAATAAAACTCGGAGAACTGAAGGAGTTAGATCGAAATAATCAAAATTGGAAAACGCATAGTCTTACGAGTGAAAAAGAAAACAAATATTTTGAAGCTTTCTACTAGGCTTACTGCTTGCTAGTAAACAGTCTCACTGCGTTCCCTTTTAACATTTTAATCTCGTATACCACTTCTTTTCTTAAAATTAGGCTGTGCTATGTGATTATTGAACTGATTTGCGAGAAACATAACTAACTGAGCTCATCAAGCTAAGTTATTCTTCTGAAAGACTTATTTTCTTCTGAAAGCTAAGTTATCAAGCTAAGTTATTTCTTAAGCGGAAAAAAATATCCTCATTGTCAATTAGTTTTGATCGCTGCTTCCATAAATTAACATGAAAAAATTCATTGATGTGATTGAACAAAATCAGTTTATATTAATGGCATGCAAGATGACTTTCGAAAAGAGGTATCTGGTACTGCTATTGCTTATATTGTATTTACTGGCTGGAGCGCCACTATCTTCAAACTTAACCTAAGTGAGACAGTGGGAATTGTAAGAATGCTGACAGGAATAGTGTAACTACAATGAATCATCATCGCATTTCGTGAGCTCACTCGGCTGAATTCCGGAAACGAAATACGATGAAAGCGAGTGACAATAGCTTATGGATCAATAGCTCCTATTTGCGGGTGATGAATAATAGCTGATGAATGTGACGTACGGTCAATAACAAACACATTTTGAAAGTTTTCAGCAAGTTTATAGTCACTCTTATTGACTATGGCTAAAAGACAAGAGTGTTTGTAGATGGAAATGATTATGAATGAAAATAAAATGTAGGTAACAAGAAGAAAAATGCAACAGAGGACAAGATACGCCTACGATTTAATGATGAATGTCGCAGAAGAAAATTTTGTTCATCAAGGATAAATAAATAACAATCGAAAAAGAAACAAACAACAATTGAAAAGTACAGTCAAAAAAAGGAGCATAAAATAGTTTAGCTGAATGCTTATTCTGTTGACATAACGACATTTCAGTTTACAAAACAACACACCAACTACTTCACTATATAAGAAAGTGACATATCTCAAAACTGTTATATACACTCATCTTCACGTTCATTCCTCAACACCCGATCATCCATCCACATAAATACATCCCGAATCCGATTCTATCGTTCCATTCAACGTTCCTGTATCTACTCAGCCACCCAGCCACATGAATTCAATCAGCAACTATCTTCTTATCATTTCCATAGCAACCTATTCGGTTCGTTCCTATTTTAAATTTCATTTCAATGTTCAAAAATAGCTCAGGATTGTTTGGCTAAACCAATATTATATACGATCTACCTGAATGCATCAAATACTTAAGCATTTATTTGTCATTAGATGAAATAATTTTACATGCACTTATTGTCGAATTTGATTAACGAATTCTTTACAAAACAAATGTGCAAAATTTTTAATGCTATAATATCGCTGCTACATGATTGCTGCCTTTCTGCTTGTGAACCCGGCACCAAAATATCCTTGAATCCATCCATATACATCACAGAAAGACAAACGGTTTTATGAACGTCCGCATTTAGCATGCAATATTGAAGGGCAATGAAGCCAGTCACCTCATTTTACAGTTTACATGACAAAGCGTAAACAAATTCTTTGATCCGTTATCCGTTGAACTCTGTTATTTACATCATTCATAAATGCAACGTAGCGTTTTATATAAATGGTCCGATAATTGTTCTGAAGTTTTTTTTGAACAGGAGAAGCTTATTGTCAGAACTATATATACTAAACAACTACTTTAAATAATATGGACGTAATATTATTATACATTTGTTGCGTTTAAATACATATTTTCAAACTGAGCATTTAATTCTTAAATTAATGAATTTAAAAAATCATCAGCTAATTCTTATTTGTACGCAAAAATCATTGATACACAGACAGAAGTGAATGCAAATGAGTGCATTTCAAGGTAGCGACGAGTGATTTGGCAGTTCGTTCGAAACGTTGCACGTGCATGCAGCCAGCATGCAGCTGTATCTCAGTAGCAATCACATTTGAGATGCAGTGTTCATGCCCTCAAGTGCAACAGCCATGCATATGTGGTGAACAACCTCAGCCATGTGTTCCGCAGTGTCAAGAAGTATGTCAACGACAATGTGTCGGTACGCAATGTCGGCCAGTCTGCTGGAAAACCTGCTCATCCACCTGTCAACCACCTCGACCACCTGTACCAGTTATCCCACATACTGTACCAACTTTGCCACCTACCATACCAACTATACCACCAACTCTTCCACCAGTAACATTCCCACCTATGCCTCAACCTCAACCATGTTGTCAACCAATGGTTGGAAGTTTGATTTCTTGAACAAACATTCTTCTTCTTTTCACAAAGAATTTGTCTTTCCAAATAGAGTCAAAAATGCTTTCAAGTGATACTTTCTCCCCATTGACTGACTGATATACGGTTAAGTTAATCGTTAGTGAGATCAATGAGATTACTCCTCCGTAACCTCTCAAAAAATCTCAGCAATACCACAACGATGATCGAGTTTTCAAAGTTCACCAGAATCTTCAGTGCATTATGAGCGATTCATGCACATAATTATGAGAAAAATTTCTGTACGATTCATGATTCAGTATCCCGTATTTTCGCGTTTCTCACGTGACCAATGGAATTTCGAAGTAATCACAAAATGTAGACACCATCTAATGCAGTTAATTCCCTTTGATTACTCAAGAAATAAATTTTATTCAGGAAATAACCTGTTTAAATTTCAGGTTCCAACTGTTCAGTGCATTCAGATAATGTATATGCAGTGTTACTGCACATCAGGTTATGGGCCATGTGGTAATGGCAGTCAGTGCTGTAAGAAGCGGTAATGAGGCAGATGAATGGACGATAAGATGGCCATTATAGAATTCCTTAATCTGGTCTAGACTTATTTCAGCAGTGAATTTATCTCTCCAGTATTCAGTATTCCAACTTCAATAATCAACAACCGTAACCGTTCATCTATTCATACCGTCTTTCTGCGATACTTCTGTATTCATCCGTTAATGGTTTTTGCTCAAGAATTAGTTTTATAGAATGCCTAGACCACCCATAGTGCCGTCATCCAGCACCGTATTTCGCAAGCACACCGACTCTGGTTTTTTTTGATGAGCCAACAGCATACGACTTGGAAAGGATAAAAAATACTCTAACTGAAACTTAGTAGTGAAAATTGTTACACCAAAACGTGATTCAGGATGTGTTATTTGTGGATGCATACCAATGCTGGATGATTTTTTGTAACTGCTATTAGTTTGCAATTTACAATTGAAATACCTTTACTGTTGCTGAGTTACGGAATGATGATCAAAAAGGACTTGTAATTGTATTGTGTGCTGAAAATAAACGAAGATTCTGTTGAAAGCAATTGTCTTGAACTTGATTTCGTCTTGCATCATAGCATTTATCTTTAAATGAGTTCGTTCATTTACTTCTGCAGCAAAACATCTGTATACAGACACTGGTCAAAAAAATCACGACAATCTTGTTTTACCGGAGAGCATTTGACTTTCCCAAATATTATGGTCGTGAATTATGGTAGATAATCGTATAAAAATGATAACTACATCACACCTTAGCCTAGCATATTGAAAATCTCAAGAGAAGCTTTTCAAATGGAAAAAAATGTTGTGCATGAATTAGTACATTGTAGAAGTTATTGTTGAGCAATCTACGGGGTCGTGCTATTTTAACTTAGGAAGTTTCAAAAGAATCAGATTCTTTGATTTTGCAGCGAGAGAAACGAAGCATCTACAAATATGTAATCGTATGAAGAACTGTCGAAACTGGTCAAAATGTAGTACTGCAATAAAAAAAAGGTTAAAAAACATCTGCTCAGTAAGGATGGCCTTATAGTTTTCAGTACAGCCTCAGATTATAAGCAGTATAATTGACAGGACAAATAATGACCCATTAAAGGGTGCCTCACAATTATGGTGACACAAGCAAACACAGAGAAGATTTTCAGTTGGAAAAGCTTCTCTATGATCATTTGTGTTCTTCTTCAAAAAACTCAACATTGGCTAATCCAAATTTAATCATAATATGACCAGTCAAATTTCGATTTGCCGTCCCCTGCGTTTAATAAATTGGTTGACACGTTTCTGGAGATTTTTGACGATGACCGTATCTTCAGAGCAATTGTTCTGAAGCATCCAATCGGTGTTTCTTCATAATTGATCGGCCCAATCTCAATCTAATTCTTCCTGACAGGAAACACAATTTCGCGTCTTTCTCCGAATTATCGTGCGATTCCACTTGGCCAACGAATGCAGTGATCGATGCGCGTTCACAGACAGCTGATAGGATGGCTCAACAGTAAATGTCCTTGTAATAAAATGTATTCGAATATGCTGGAAAATTTTCCAAAACATCGGACCTCCAACTTCAAAATGCACAAAAATACAGAGCTCTAAAAAGTCTTTACCATGGTGCACCCTGCACTATTGCGATCATCAAATCTAACCTACACGTTTTCTCAGGTCTTATCAAGGATCATAAAATTTCTCATATCGGAAAAAAGAGAAGGTCCCTTGCAAAGTGTCGCAAATCAGATTGGAATAGCGTTGGATGGCAAAAGGTCCAGAGCCTAGGCGTAATTGTGAAGCCGAACATCAGCTTGAGTCTAGATTTCAACTTAAGGCTAACCTTAAGTTCAAACTGATCTAGAGGATTAATTTGAAGTTGACTGGATACTGAAGTTCAAATTGATCAAACTTGCGTTTTCTTAGCACTTTTATACCAGTTAGGATAAAGTAGGTCCTAAGCTCCTTAAAAATAATCATGTCACTGAAATCAATTTTTTTTCGAGAAAGGGTTGTTTTTGCAGATATACTTTTTCTTTACAAGATTACAGAAAGTACCATCTTTAAGATTCCTTTACACTCAGCTCTGATCAGTAATCTCGTCACTTCCTTGTAGCATCGAATGATGTTATCGTTAATAATAATAAAGTTGGTTACGATAGTACTAGCATGCCACCTGCTCAAAAGTTTAATAGCTGATGAACACATTTACTTTGCATTGGAAACATTAGGCATAGAAGAAAGTTCTCGAGCTTTCAGACCCGAAATTTCGAAATATCACAACTCGGCTCAAAATCAACATTTTTATTCAAAATAAAAACCGTTCACTTCCACACAACGTTGCCAACGCGAAATCAGGGCTTTTATCCCCGTGCCATAGAGGCCGGGGTCTCTGGAATCAAAAAATCGACTGACGTCAGCTTTTAGTACCGTCTAATCTGGGAAGTTTCTCCAGCGCAGGAAAAGTTCCAGGTTTTTGAACAGATGATAATCTGTTGGGGAGAAGTCCGGGAAGTAAGGCGGGTGAAGCAGAACCTCGAAACCTAATTGGCGAATTTTTGTAACGTTGTCCGTGCAATGTATGGTCTAGCGTTATCCTGTAAAGGCTCGGACCACTTCTATTCATCAATGCTGGCCTTATTGATCCCCTGCCACCTCAAGTGTATGAGAGTAGTATTCGGCGTCAATAGTTTACCCACATTCAAGGAATTCGAAATGCACCACACCGGTGGTACACCAGAAAGCGATGAGCATGACTTTTTTTGGGCGTAATTTCGATTTCGGCATCATTTTGATGGCTTACCAACGTCCAGCCATTGAGCTGACCTCCGCCGATTATCATATTTAATCCACTTTTCATCTACGGTAACAATTTGCTCAACGAATGGATCATTGTTGTTTCTGCGCAGCAACAAATTTCCAAGCGTCTGAATTGCTGAGCCTCGTCCAACTCATGCTGAATCCACCGGTCCAATTTCTTGACCTTACAGATCTGCCGTAACCTTGTTGAGAAAGTTCTTTGGCTGACACCAAGTTTGTCCGCCACCTACTACTGAGACTGAGCGGGGTTCGACTCAACCACTTCTTTCAATCCGTTGTTATTGAGGTCTGGAGGAAGACCTGACCTCGATTAATCTTCCAAGTTCATTTCTCCGGCAGCGAACTTCTTGAACCAATCTCGAACAGTCGATTTGGAAGTGGCTCCCTCACCAAATGCTTTGTTAATGATAGCTATCGCCTGTCTGCTCGAACGACCAAGTTTGAACTCATAAAACATGAATTTGCAAATTATTCTCTTGTCCATAGCTTAGATTCAATGCTCCAAAAGTCCCGAAATTGAAAGAATGAAAACCATGTATAGATGTATTCAGATAGCGCAGAAAATGGGCTACAAAAAGACACGTAACACTACACACAACAACTCTATAATGAAACGCAATGTTCCATTATATCAGTTTGCCTGCGTAACTGCCTGAGAACTTCTATGCCTAATATTCACTTGTTTTTATGCACTGAAAAATTAGTAGACAAAGTAGCATTGGTAAGACATTTCATGGAATTAGAATGATTTAATTCGTTTGTACTATTCAAAGGGATAAAATATTTTCCGGTTAATATTTTTAAGCCGTTCTGGTTGTTTTTGGAGAGAGTTTGATCACGAAGAACTGTTATCAATTTGAGAGTAACAATACGGAACCGTTATTGGCGGATAGTTCTCAGCACCATACAAAAAAGGTGTGCAAGGTGTCACCTTAAACTCATTCAATACCTGGAATGTCGGGATGGGAATTAGGTTAAGACGAGAATTAATTCAAAAAGAGAAGTTTTGCAGTGGAATGGAACTCAAAGTAAAAGATTATTCTTGCTCAGAAATGCAACAATTTTTTGAACTTTGCAAGATTTAAGGTCCCAGCTCCCCAAAAAACGCCTTTCGATCTATCACGTCAGTCAAAAATTTTCAAAACTTGCAAACTTATAAACGAGACTCGCATACTCAAAATTTTCGACGTTGAGACGACGGTTGTAACAAAGTCAAATCGAGCAGCGACTAGTCAAGATACTCTATGACCCTGTCCAACAGCTCACATTTGAATGGTTGAAGTCAACCAAGATCGAGAGCGAAGAGCATCCAATGACAACACACAATGCTGCCGATAAAATGCGTCTCTCAATGAGGGAAACGCCAAAAAAAGCCGAGTTGCGGTTTTAGACGACTTGCAACCTTATAAATGTGAAACAGTTGAAGACGTGAGGATTGTTCTTGACAATATTGATCTTGACGTTGAGAAAATATCACTATGAGAAATACCACTTAAAAAGTTTTGACAGCGTATATAAAGAATAGTAACGTTGTTTTTTTACAGATTTGAGAGGAGGACTTGGAATTGATCAACAGTAATAGAGGGAGACTTCATCTTTGATTATTTACTGTTAATTACTAGCGAAACTGCGGTTTGCTTCACTTTCCTATCATGGGTTAAGATTCTGTAATCGTTGAAAAGATGAACGAAACCGGACCGTTCTTTTTCAGCACTTTCTAGGGGATTACCACACAAGTTTCAGGAGATTTAGAAGGAATATCAAGCAATCAATGGTGCCACATGAAAGCACTCTCGATGATTAATGCTATGCTTGTTTGATGTTTGATCTAATTAATTCCTTCTAAAAGAAACAACGCAGAGAATCGAGCGGTGACTGTTTAGTAATCAGGATCAGTAATTATTATAGAATGTTTCAAATTCTATACAGCCATTCATATTATCTGGATGGTTGTTTCAAGAAATTTTATCACCGGATGAAAATGTCCGTATTAAATAATATTTATAAGTTGAGTAAAGTTATCAATGAATTACAGATTTGACAGCTGAAAATGAATGATAACGAACCATCAATTTTTCATTAAATATTTGTAAACGATCAATGATTTGTGGGTCAAGATAACAGCATTAGATTAACATTGAATTGGATAGTCGTACAATCAATTCACAAAATTACCCTGTTGGAGAGGTATTTCATGGGCTACTAATATATGTGACTTTGGTGTGAACTGCAACTTGAACTTTCGAAATTTCATTTCGGAACAAAAAAATTCAATACCGAATTTTACATGTTTTACAGAAAAGCAAAGTGATGGAAAACATTAAATTGCATCTAATGAATCCTTTCTGTCAGCCAACCAACATCGGATACACTTGATTTCTCCAGGAGTGGAAGTTATTTCGTCTGACAGTTTTCTTTTTAGGTTTTCTTCGATATCCCGATAAAAAGTAGACGGTAGAGCGAATATTTCACTGTCTTTCGGTTTGATCTTTGACAAAGCATCCTGTATAAAGAACTTTTAAATAAAAATCTAAATCTAGAAAATTAAGGCGTTTGAAAGTCATTTAATTTTCTCATCTTTCTTTCCATGTATCTCATTCAGAGACAGTCACATCAGACTGAAAAATCTTCTACCGTTCTAGAAGGGTGGTATTTCTTCTGGTTCTTTTCTGCATATTTGTTTTAGCATTGCCATTTTTGTGTCAGATGCTCGACCTGATGCAATCTGCGTTAGGCCGGGCATCTCACGTTTCGGGGTTCGAGACCCTTACAAAGGTCCAATCGATTGTAAGCAGTGGTGCTTAAGCACCTCAAGCCGGGAAAAAATTTTTGGCTCAATCAAGAAAAAATCACACTAATGTTCAGTGATCGGAGCTAAGATCGGCATCAACACTGGCGAGAACGACTTATCAATTCGTGAGACCAACTGTACGCAAATTGTAAATCCACGCAAGGTAAATTGATAGTTTGACGAAATGAGTAATTAATCGTTTCGACCTCGTCAATTCATTTTAACAATCTATCACGCACGTAGAATTATTGCATTCAAATGCACACTGACAAAATGCCATTTTGATTTCATCGACCTAAACTACTTATATTGAGAAACTTACAGCGGATGCATATGCAATATTGAATCCCCACTCAGGATCTCCAGATGAAGCCACTGACTGCAAGTAACACTTAAGTGGCGCTGGAATAACAGCAGCAATACTTGACACTTCCTCGCCTTTTACGCTTGAAGTTTCGACATCGAACCACTTGTCATGAATACCTTCTTTCATGTGTCTTGTTTCAATAGAAAATACGAACAACAACAACCTTATAGTCGAAACTTTTTTCCATCCCTGAAATTTTCCTCTGCCAACCTCCTCAATTTGCTCTCTCTGCAGAGCGGTGCAGATCGAAACTTCGCCAAGCAACAACAATGATGATGCAACAGACTGTGGCAATAAGGCACTTTCGTAAGATATATATATTGGGGCAATGCAAAGAGCATGATCATACCGGACTTTTAAAATACCCACAGGTTTTAGTTTATATCGGTTGAGAATTACTTCGTGCAGTAACTAAGCCGAAAGTATTGCAAGTGGAGTTCGTGTCCAGTGCTGAACTTTTAAAACTCTTCGTTAAATAGCGAGTGCTATCAATAACTATGTATGGCTAATTTACGTAGCGGGTGGGGAATGCATTGCTTTTTTCTTGAGGTGGACATTTCTGAAGGAATTTACAGAGTAAATACTAATCAGATTTGATAAACGAATCAGTCTGATAAGACAATATTGCATGTAGAAGCTACTGTGTGCGGGCTCCACTTGCGATATTTTTAACTGGAATTTTGCATGGAGTGGTTTTTAACCACTATAAACCGGTATCGACCGGTGTTTCAAGAACCGCAAAAAAAATTTTTTGTATAATTCTCGCAACACCCTGCCATACAGTCCACATCAGTAAGTCTGTCCTATGCTACAACATAGGCTAGCCTGTGTGCGCTGTAACTTCTAATTGATGAGAAAAATGCGTGTTATTAGCACCGTGAATGTATTAAAAAACGCCGATGATAGTTTGAAATTCTAAAGTTGAATTCACCAGTCATGACTAAAAGTATGTATTTATTTTGAGGAGAATGAGCGGCTGCATCAGAAATTTTTTAAGGTAAGCATGCCTATGAAATGAATAAACATATATGGAATCGGGTGAAGTGGTTGATATGATCACAGGATATAATGAATCTAGTTTTGAACAGAACAAGAATGAAAAAGTCTATTAAATCTGTTTGTATTTTGCGGATTGTGAGCAACTTTTATAACAATTTATGCCACTGTCCTGGGTAATGTCATGGAATCATGTAAGGCATGCGCATGTTAAAGTTGGTATAATGGATTGAATTTTGAACCGGTCTGAGAAAATACGCTTTGTAAAGAGTTGAAGCATCTGTCAGAATCATGCTGATGTTCAATTTTAGTTTGCATTTTATGAGGAACTCTTCAAAGATGTCATATCAAGTTATAACAACCTTTTTAAGACCAACTGCATTTGATTCGGGTGCAAATTGCTTGTTGGGTTACATATTACTCTTGATGAGCCTGCTAATTTCGTCGTGAATGTTTTCATCTTATTTTTTTGACGGGAACTTCGATTCGTGAAAATATTTTTTTGCCAAGTTTGCATACTGCACTAATAGAGCGTTCAGTGATGTTGATAATGAGAGCAGTAATAAGTTTCAAGAGAGTGTTTGATAAGGTGGCAACGAAATGTATCAATGACACCATGTATTTGTGAATGAGATGGTAAGTGACAGCATGAAGAATCTGATGACTCCACAGTGCTTTATAACATCACGATCAGTGATGTTATAGTACGATGTGATATGCATTTTAGTCATTATATAACCTCATCTCAATCGTTCTATCGATTTCAGTATCGAAAGCGGAAATGACATTTAAAAATATTGAAAACAGAATAATTTAAATTAAATATCAAAATAAATATCAAACTAGATACCGGAAATAACATTTGAATTTAAAAAATATCAAAAACAAAACAAGGCAAAAGACGGAAAGCATAAAGATTTTGTGGAGAACAAATAAGACGAAAGATAAGATAAATTTATCAAGATAAGATTATTTATGAAGAAATTATTCATGATAAGCTAAGAAGAAAATGAGACAAAAATATCAATAAAGACGACAAATCATTCAAAAAACAAAGACAACATACCTGTGCACTAATCTTGTAGGTTTCATGATCTAAAACTGTTGGAAATGGAGGCAGTTTTTGCGCGAAATATCTGCTCAATTCGATATTACTAGGTAAGCATCGCAGTACTGAGCAAATCTAACAGTAAGGTACTATTATAATATCGGATTGAGGAAATTCTTTATTGTCAAAAATTTGTGTTGCTGATGGATTCTGCTTATCCTCGAAAATCAGCTGTAATTTCTGACGTATGTCAAACAGCTGAGTATCCCATCACTACCGATTTGATCACTGATTCATGGCAATACATTTAGGCTACCTGCATCCTCAGTTTTGCTAAGCACAGCGATCGTTTTTCAACACATCGCCTCCTCAGATTTATCAATCCGATTTTTTCATATCAATGAATTCTCGCGATTCACTAGTTTCATGAAAGTATGTATATGCGTTGGCCGGCGATTTTGCTTATACTTTCATACATTCAGAGAAACAGCTGATTCTCTCAAGCTATCTGAACTGTCCGACAACTATCAATTCAATACATTCGAAGGTGTTATTTGTATTGGAGTCGGAGTAGTTATTTGGATACGAAGCGGTTGGTTTGCCGATCGTTCTTGTCATCCGTTATCAGCATCCCTTCGTCAACCATGAAACTTAAAGCGATTCAAACCGCATTCTTTTTAACAATCCATTTCTCACATCTTCTTGTTCCTTTGAAGTTAATCAACAGATGGTCTAATTGTAAGATTTAAAGGTGTTATTTGCATTGGTCTAGAGTGTTCCGTTATATGTCATGTATATATGCAATAACAATTATTTATGTAATTTTCTTTCTTGGTCATCAGTGATATAACAAAAACAAAATTCCTCATTTTCCTCCACATTCATGTTTCCATCTCTCCGGATTATGCTCATCCATTTCTCCTAACATAACCAATTCAATGACTTCTATACATAATCCTACCTCTTTTGTCCATTCGTACGTTATTAATCGTGACCCATATCACCTGCTTGTGCACTTAATTGTACAGGCATTCAACCGTACGAATGCCCATAGGCTTACCTTACCCATCCATTGCCACTTATTTCAGTCTGCTGATGTCAACTCAACCCAATTTCAGACAGTTCGAGTGTTAGGGTTGGTTTACTCCAAATATTGTGATGCGAATAATCGTGGCAAGACCGGACAACTTTACTGCAGCTAAATTCCTCTGGATTCGAAGGCAGAAGACCTCACTGCTACTTACCACGACAATTTTTCACACATCAAAATCAGCGGTATTTCGTCGACCCTTTCATCCTGATGTCTGCATAGCTTGTGACAACGCGTGAAAAAACATTTATCCATCTGTCGCACCGTGGCACTTTCACGTTTTGAAATTTGACCCAATCTACGCCTAAGCTTAAGCCTTCTAACACGGAGCTCACCTTCAGCTGATCGTGCCAAATTTGTCCTGGTGGTTCGCTCGAGACCTGAACAAACAATACAATTCTGTTGCACATCCGTAACGCGGAAAAACCATACCGAGCAGTACTCTTCTTCATTATTCGCGGCGCAGCGGCATTAAAAAACAATAATAAACATTGGAAGGATGAATACGCTAATAGAGACACGAAAAGATGAAATTGAGCAAAACAAAAACAAAACACCACGAACAACAACAGCAAAACGAAGCAAAACAACAAAGCAAACGTTCTCCTGTACAACGAGATTCCATTTATTTAATCAATCAAGCAGTCCGAAACTGAATGACATGAACGAATTCTGAAGGTTCATAGTGAAACCAGTTCCTTAAAAACATCGTACAAAAATTCAGACGATTCAACCCATCCACAGTCACACGGTTCATATTTGTTACCTATTGAGATCGCTTTATTCTGTCACATACAGTCTTCACATTGAAAGGTTTTCCATATTTTTCATCTCACGAGGAATGGTCACGAACTTACCTCCGCCTTTCGGGATGAGACGTATATCATATTGTAGAGTGTTCTTGACAGTGTTCTCAAGTTCAATTACCTTACATTAGACGAATAAAAATCCATATCTCGAAAGACCCTCGCTTTCAATGTCCACAACTCGGCTCATCCCAAGCCGTTCGGGCAGCAGAAGCAATAAACATAAGGAACGTGTATCAGCAGCCAAGACAGAATTGCAGCTTTCTTGTGTAAGCTCAACCACAGCTGCGCGGTTCAACTTCAACCTAGAATACAAGCTCTCGGAAAAGGCCAATTATCGGTGAAAAAGACGAAAGCCTTAAAATTTGGATGTAATTCAACATCCCCTTGCCAAATGAAGAGGCCACAAAACTTCTATCAGGTCTGAATGGGATCCTTGAAGATACTGAATGTCTTATTGTTAGTAGCACTAGTGATGAGTAATAATTATACTAGCAAAGGAAATAAGGATATCATCACAGACTTGTATGAATGCCATCATGAACATAGCTAATAGATAAGCTTTGGCGAGTAACCACACACCTGAGAGATTTCTTCTTACAGCACATTCAACAACATTGGAATTAAGTGAAGCGATTTCGTAGATGGAGTCATTGGTCAACCCGATGATAATTCTCTCCTGTAAAGGGAAAGTGCGGACGGTGAGTCCGGGAACCTTTGTTACCGAAACAAAAGCCCGAAGGCACCACTCAGGCCAACTTACGCACACCCATATCCCCGGTCAAATTGGCGCCTTCCCCGGGCCAGGAACGCCCTTATTGTATGGTATAAAAAGAATGCTTACGATACCCGGGCAAGTATCTTCAGCATATCATTTCTCTCCGATTCGCCTAGACTAGCGGTAGGCGCGGGAATGCCTGTCGCATTTACCGAAACCTAATCCCGTTTATTGGCAGCTCGACGGGTTGGGATCGCCCACGCAACCAGTACTTGCTTTCTAGGAATGACCACTGACTATACGAAAAAAATCACATCAGCCTTATTCCAGCTGTTATTAAATAGCACTACGAGGAAGACGTTCTTCGAGTCACCACTCAGCGACTCGACTCTACAAGATGAGTGGTCCAGGCGAACTTTTCAGACCTACCGCTAACTTTATAAGGCGCTTCATACCCTATATTTATGA